AGTATACTGAAGTGATTCCAGTTCACACTTCCGACTAAATCAGTCACCTTAAGTCAGCTGAAAGCTGGGATAATTTGTCAGCCTCGGGGTAGACCTAATTCTGAAACTACGAGGAGTATAACTTCAATTAGGGCATAGCGACAGTTGGAAGACTTAATTTTATTGTTCCGTTTAAATTAACGAGTTTAAAGTGTTGTGAAAGCTCAGGAAAAGCTTTAAACTTGCAGGGATTTAATTTTAGAAATTTTAGGAGCAAAAATGCTCAAGCATATTAGTTTCTGAAAATCGCCCTAAGGTAAAGAGCGTTTAACGAAAGATTAAGAAATCCCACACTTTCATTTTCGCTTATCTGGAGATTTCGTTGGTCTTATATGGGACTCCTCTCAGATATGTTTTTAAGAAGCAGATACACTTTAGACCTCCCTAACACTTATTTCCCTCGATAATGAAAGTAAAATGCCTACGCTGGACTATAGGATGATTTTCAGGCTCTAGTTCCCACACAGATTTCTGGAAAATTTTTAAACTCACATAAAAAGGTCAAATCCAAAGCTGTGAGTAATCAGATGGATGGTAACTGTTGGAATTACACTCTCTGTAACACAGAACCACCAAGGACTTTTCTATTAGTCTGCCCGAGGCAACCGAGAGCTACTTTTAATTTCTCTCCACCGGAAGCTATGGAATTCCACATGCTCCATTGAGGGACATAGGTTTCAGAAGTGAATCACTGAATTATTGTCTTGGTTTCAATTGGATTGTTTCCATGAAAAATAAACGATGCCAAATCCGACTTCTTGTAAATAAGTGTCCTCAATCTCTCTTCTCTTTCTCTTTTTATAAATTTGAAAAAATAGTTTCTCCCACAAAAGGTTTGAGCTTTCCCTGACGACGCCTTTTTTCTCGCAGCCGCACGCCTTCGTTACAAACCGGCGCGTCATTTCCATTTAGTGAAATGTATGATAATTCCATGGTGATAAGGTAAAGTGCAAAAGAAGCGGACGCCATGAGAATATACTGAGAGCGAAATTAATCTCATTTGGAGTGGCATAGAATTGCGTAATTCGCGGCATGAGAACAAACTACTGGCAATTTGAAAATTTGCGAATTTAGCTGTTAAGGAGAGTGGAAATATTTTAAAAAACTTTAACACTTTAAATATTTTTCAGAATTTTAAATTTAAAGTCAAAAAAGCTCCAACCAAGCTCGTTAAGCAATTTAAATTTTTTTAGTAATAAAAATTTATTTCAAATATTGTAATATTCATTATCCACCAACTACCCTTCTTCTACGAATTTCCATATTTTAAAATCACTTCCCAAGCAATTGCCCACAAATCACGTTTTAAACAATCAAACACTTGCCAAACGATTTTACGCCCCAAAGCACTCACGTGCATTTCAAACTCAGCTGCTCGTGCAAGCAAAGCAAGTGGTGGACCGTTACTTCGTCTTGTCATTCTACCATTTATTGCAATACCTACAATATTACTCCCAGCGCTTCTTTAAATCAGAGAGCTTTCAAAGCTTTCATTACAATTCACGAGCTTACACATTCGCTTTTCCGGCACTAAAATGATTTCTACTTTTTCTTACTTTTTCTTACTTTTTCTTAGTACCACTTTCGTACTTACAATAAGCCGTTAAGTGCCATCATATATTTTTCTTAAAAATTGTTCGAATTCCAAAAAGTCTGTGTGTGCCGACTCTCATGCTCCTCTTGCGCCACAGCCGCCACAGCAAGGGTTTTACTTACCGAGAGAGCTGCCGAAAATTCATAATTTATTGCAGAGTGTTTGAATTTATTACGAAATTAAATGTGGCTGCTGTTCGGGAATACATACATATACACACACAGGCAAACATACCACATTACGTACACCAGAACCAATTTAAAGGAGATGCAATTGGTTACTGGGCGTTCAAATCTACTTCTTTTCTTCTCTATTTTATTTTCAGCTTCTTTGAATAAGAAACGTGAAAGCATTAAAATTTCGTTAAATAAATTGCCTGAGGGTGAATGAATTATTTGGTATTAAAACGGAAGATGGTGAGCCTATTTTAAATTTTCTACGCTTTCGACATTCTTCAACATTGTCCCTCTGAGAGAAGCACTTCGCCTTTGGGGACAGCTCATCTTACAGGCGTTCCAGGAAATGAACAGGTCTGAGGGGGTTGGACCACAAATGAAGAGGTGCTAAAAGAATCAGTTGAAGAGGGAACGGAATGAGGTGGTAAGAGTCTTTGGAGTACTACTCGTAATTGTTGCCGGGATTGAGGCATTTAGTTAGAAATTGAGTCATTATCAAAACTTTAGGGTTGTCTTAGGGTTACTAGGGTCAGTGTGGTGGTCGGTTTCTAATAGCACCACTCATAGAATGACTTGTCGCTACCTGCGCGTGGTCATCATACTTCAGTTATCTGCCGGTTTGACGCCTTCTGTAGTCACTTACGCTCCTTAGTCGAATTTTCTGGCAGGTTGTTTGCTACAAAAGGCTACTGGCTAGTGTCTTAAGAATTTTATAGCAGTTATGTACTTTAATGAAGGATTGCAGACTGTTTAGATGTATCTTACAACAGCCAGTTCTTGAATCCTGCACCGACTTGCAGTACAACTTCTTATCGAACAACAACAGCACAGGTTCTACACATATTTAAGTATAGAGGCACAGCTACCTCGGCATATTGGAAATGCCACAGCATAAAAAAAATGTCTGAGCATTTATTAGACTTCCTACTCTGTGGTATCATAATACGTCATCGGTTAGACTCCGTAGGCAAATTATATACTAAGATCCAGTTCAGATTATGACTTAAGGTGGCCTGAAGTATCTCTCTTACCCTTTTTTCCCGGTGATTTCGAAATAAAAATATCCATTTGCCTTACAGCAAATCAGCTATGACCCGGCACCAAGGTCAGTCTTATCGGAAGTTCTTCTTGCAGCTGGTAATAGCAGCACCGTGGATTTCGGTTTGAGAGACTCGCTAACAGAAAAGAGAAATATCAGAGCAAATTAGAAAGTGAAAAAATTGAAAGGATTCCACACCCATTATGTGACTATGTTATTTAGAAGGGTTTAGACTTGAGTATAAGCGAGAAAGAAGCGAAAATTAGGAATATTTATCCAAATTATTTACGCTTGAGCATACAGCGAGGTCGGGAGCTCTTTTTAAAAAAGGATAATAGAAAGGATGTATGAACGATGAGTGGGAGAAATGATCTTTCTGATTCATCCGGAGTGTATTGGTGCTTCCACATAGACCTTTGATCTTACATCTTTGAACCAAGAAAACTTTGATGGTTAGAGGCTATGAGTAGTTAGTATATTTCTAAATATATTATAAGGATGAGATTCTTTTTTAAAGAAAAATCACAGAAAATTCAAATTTAATGAGGAGCGTTTATTATCATTCGCAAGAACCTTATTTGGCATTTATTTTTTGGAGATAATCTCTTTCAAATTTTTCTTTCTTGGCCATGGCTACATCCATCCATTAGTTGAGTTAAATTTTCGACGACTCGTTCGATCATGTCGACTAGTAACTGGCGTATTTTGGCGTGATGTTTTGCTCCAATGCCTGAACCGAAGGGGGATGGTCCGCACAGACTTTGCACTTCACATATCATGACAGGAAGAAGTCTAACGGTGGGATATCACATGATCTTCTTGGCCAATCCATCGGCGCAAAACGTGAAATTATCTGCTTACCAAAGTGTTCTCTCAATAAATCTCGAATTGTTGCATTAAGTGGGAAGTGGCGACGTCTTGCTGAAACCAAATGTCGCCGTGATCACGAGCTTCAATTTCAGGCACTAAATAGTCGGTAATCATGGCGCGATATCGGTTGACGGTTTCATTCCCACCGGCATCAGTTTTCAAGAAATATAGACCACAAATCGTACTAAACCCTTGTTTTTATGGATGAAATGGCAGCTCTTGAATCTCTTCAAGTTTCGTGCCAAATGCGGCCAGAAATAGGCCTCATTGCTGAGCATCAAAACAGTCGGATATTCTTGGAACTTTTCAAAATCAGAGAGAGCAAAGCCATGTCACTTGGGAAGATGAAGCGGCTTCAGTTCTTGCATAAGCTTTATAACCAAGCTTTGAACGCTTGGTCCAGTATCTCTTGTCAGCAGCTCACACAAGAACATCTCATCAAAAATTTTCAAATATTCTCTTTTTATTTACAAAAATTATCCGTACTACATATACAAGACACACAGTGCTCAGAGCCACTTTTCTTGTAATTTAATTATTAATTACACTCCGATTAAATTAGTTTTTAATTGCACAGTTGACAGCTCGTCAGTCCGTTTGACTTGCAACATCTTAATACCCAAATGAGTTGAGCAGAAATCAAAGAATAATTATCGAAATTCAATTTGCCACTAATCATTATTATTTCTTGCTTCAGACTCTCTTTCTACCTCCCCTGAGCCCACTCTCTCTCTCTCTCTCTCCTTCCCTCTCTCTGTTTAATAACACAAATTAACATGCAAATCACTTACAAATGCCTTTTAATCTCTTTTATATAAATTTAATTGCTGATTACTAAGCAATTCAATTAAAATTTAACCCGCCATCCCCCATCTCTCAGCACAGCACAGCTCAGCGTTTAACCTCATTAGAGTTTATTACAATAGAGTGAACTTTGCGCTTTCCCTCCGCTCCCTACCGTCGAGCCATTCGTCAATCACTGAGCGATGAATATAAAATGTAACAGAGCAGCTGTGGCACGAGTCTCACCCGTAAATAAGCTTTGCCCTACTGACCACCCGCAAGCTCTACACACAATTGGTACACCTGTACAACTGCCCCAGTGGCCCACTGAGTGCCGGGTATGCATACTCTCGCGTTTGTGTGTATGTGTGTGCTTGTGTGTATTTGTGTCTCCCCTCATCATACTTCTAATTTTCTCTTTTGCTTTTATTGACTTCGTCTCTTCACAACTTCGCCATTTTCTTTACTTCATTAACATAAAATTTTCGTTTACATTGAATGGAGAAAATGGAAAATGTTTTTCCGATATCAAATTAATCAGCGTAAAACGTAAAATTGCTAAAGTAAGTTGAGAAGCATAAAGAAAAAATATATCTTAAATGTAATTGAAAAATCGTAAAATCTCACAAAGGACAAGCAGGACACACAGGACATGCAGGGGGACGAGATGAGCATGCTCGTATACATGCACAAGCTGTACTGATATTTCAAAAGCACAGAAATTCTAACGAATTTATTATGCACAAAAGGTAAACAATGCGGCGAATGATGGAATACGATTATGTAAGCACCAGTGGAACTCTCGGGCAACAAGGTAAATATGTAACAACAGCAAGTTTTCCGTCATTTTTATGATTACAACAATAGCAGCAACAACAAGAACAATACGTACGATAACGACTTCACGATAATAATCGTAAACCAACCAAACTACTCATGAAACCAAGAATCCATGCAACCATAAAACCATAGACCCATGAGTCCAATCAACGCTGCAGCTGTTGCCGCTCACCAACAGTCTATCTTGGTACGCTGGTTTAACACTAATAATAATATCAGCTCAGGCAATGGAAAAGTAAAGTCCTCTCTCGACGAACAAAGACCTAAATCTACAAGTCGGAGCTTTGTAACAGCTTATTGGGTTTTAGGCCGAGTTCTTCTTCCAATTTGTGGTTTTGCGTCTCGATGTTTTACCAACAAGTAGAGGGACCAACTTGTCCCTTTGTTATTCTGCAGACGAGCAAGCATCATTCGTACTTCATCAGAGTCGAGTAATGGACTCCCTATTTCAACGTCATTGACTGGAAGAACGAGAACTTCAACTTCAGATCAGCTTGTCGGGGAAATACACCCTTTTCAGTATGTTCGGAACAGCGGTTGCCAGATCAACTTCTGGGGTTCTATATGACCATATTCGACCATGTTCAGGCCTAGAAACTTTGTTTAAGTCGCTGCATTATAGCTTTTGAGTCAGTCTACTGTCATATAAAAGCTTCCCTCTTCTCTTTTTTACAATAAGAAAATATTGTGTAATGCAACACCACTGTCCGATGCCCCAAAACTCTTGTCTGCTACCGCATTATGCCACTCTTCGTCCCGCCAGTTTCACCTTTTGCCTATTACTTGATGCTATCGTTGAGCGCCTCCCTTTTCGGCTACTGACACACAAATTTCATTTAACTTTCGTCTCATTAAATTTTCTGTTTGCTTTGCAAAGTCATAAATTCTGGTTTGCTCGCCGTGTCGTAGCTGCGCAAGTTGTTATTGCTTTTAGTCTTGACTTTGTGTTCGGTCTTTTATTTCCACGTTGCTTTGGTTGGTGTGCTCTGCTGGGGTCTTGTTTTTTTTTTTTGTTGATTTGGAAAACACTGCAAATGTAATAAACTTTAAATTCAGTTGCTCATTTCTTCAGCAGTTATTGTTGTTGTAACTCGTTATTTGCCGTTTAGTGATGTATTTGTGGCAAGTGTGGTAGTGTTGGTAGTTGTTGTTGCTCTCAATACAATATGCGATTCTTAGTTTTTCCTTATTTCTTCTGTTTTTTTTTTAAATGGTGCTGGGGCCTGACGCAACAGTTTATTTGTTAAATTTTCAAGCAGAGACACGGAGAGTCTTTTTTTTTTGAAATTCTTCTTCTTCAATTCGCCACCCCTAGAACTCTCGTCAACACCCGAGAGCGAAGTCATCATCTCTTTGGCAACATTTTATTATAGTTTATTCATGTTTTCACTTTATAGTTATACACCCACACACACACCCACACACCCACACACACACCCACAAACACACACACACACACTTAAACACGCGAATATTTGCCCATTGGTTTGAGTTTAATATTTCTTCGCTTCACATTTCCTTACCCACTACCACCTCTACACGCCGTTCTTGTGTACTGGCTTGGCAAATAGAACACAAAACGGAACAACAACCACGAGAATCTTCATCATCATCATTTTCTACGGCTCGATGAGCGTGAAATTTGAATGGGAAAATACATGGAAAATATGTGCGGGCGCAAAAAATGCCAATACAAGTGCTTGGAAAATGTATAAGTGTGTGGAAATGTGTGTTCATATGTACATACATACATATACATGTTGTATGTGGGTTCGTGAAACATATGTACAGTTATTTTTGTTGCTGCTAAAGTTTACGCAAATACGTGAAATTGAAAATTAAATGCAAATACAAAACAATTAAAAACAGTAATTAGCCGAGCTCACCGTCAAAGAATTTATTTCCATGTTAAATTTTAAAGAACTTAAAGAAAGCTTTATTTTTTTTTGTTGTAAGATAAAAAAATTATGTACTCTTTGTAAATGCGTGAGAACATCTTCTTCTTCATCACTGGCTTACGCGCTTATAGTCGAATAAACAACAGTGTCCCATTCCTTTCTTGATTTCGCTGTGCGGCGTTAATTAGAAGTACCAGGTACAGCCAGGTCCTTCCCCAACTGTCATTTCCAACGGAGTGAAGGTCTTCCTCTGCTTCCACTTGTGGGTACTGCATCGAATACTTTCAAAGCTTTCCTGCATTCACACGACGTGTCCTAGTCAGCATAGACGGTGACTCTTCATTCAATAAATTAGGTCCATGCCACTGTGTAACTCACAAAACTCATTGTTCCAACATCTGCGACACTCAACGTCATGCCATAACTCTCACGTAAAACCCTTCTCTCTAAAACTTCGTACGACTCATCAAATGTTGGTTCTACATCAGCAGGGCGGGAATGAAAAGCGACTAGCAGGGTTTAGTTTTGGTTCACCGAGAGAGGACTTTGCTCTACAATTGCCTACTCAGCCCAAAGTAGCATCTGTTGACAAGAGTGATTCTGAGTTGGATTTCAAAGCTGACATTCGTATTGGTGTTATGGTTGGTTCCAAAATAGACGAATTTGTTTACATCTTCAGAGTTATCACTGTCAGTAATCATTTAGAAGCCGAGTCGCCAATACGATGACTCTTTAATTGATGACAGGATATATATATATATCCCCTTTCCCTCGTTATTTCCTAAACCCACACGGTTCGCTCAATATTACATTAAAAAAATCACACTATAAGGAGTTATCTTGTTTGATATCGAATGGCTCGTAGAAGTCTCTCTCGGTCCTGACAGAGCTTTTGGTGTTGCTAAAGAGAGAGAGAGAGAGAGAGTATACGAGTTGGTTGGTGTCGATCTTCTTTTCTTTTTCGATCTTTCCTTTTGCAAGACTTTGCGTCTGGTAAATATCTGGTCAATGGTTAATTTGCCTCCTCTAAAGCCACACTGATAAGGTCCAATCAGTGTGTTGATGGTGGGCTTTAGTCTTTAGTCTTTCACACAATACGCTCGACAGGACCTTGTATGCGATATTGACGAGTCATGTAGCCAGCGGTGATTGGCGCAGATTGTGGTGTTCTCATTTTTATGGATTGGGCAGTGTATACTTAGGCTTCAAAAAGAAACTGATGCCTGTAACTTTTCAGTTTTACACCACCGTATTTGAATTGTTCGACCTTCAATCTATCGACCCGAACCGCTACTCTTGTTTCTCAAACAAGTGATTGCATTACCCTTGTCGAACAGCTTCCCAAGCTCTTCATACTCACCCATTGCGACCTCTTCGCTTATCGGTATCTATCCCACTCCGCCCGTATAGTGGTCGATGGTAGCGTTGTCAGGTAGATAACTACTGCGGAGTGGCAAATCCTTAGGGTATCAATTAAATTTACTTTTTTGGGACTCCCCGAAAGCCGATATTTTGATTTTCAGACACGGGTTTAAGAGTTTTATATGCAAAAAAGTCTTGGTCCATAACCGAACTAAATCGATCAAAAGTTAAGGTAATGTTGACGGTTGTCTTTGATAAAACTCAAGAGCGAGCTTGAAAGAAAGGGCACTGTCTTTCTACTTCGAGTTTACTAATTTTTCCATCATTAGAGATTGTGTTCATCCAGTTGTCCAGATGTAGCCTCAATTAGAAAAGATTTGGTTATTACAAGGACTTGAACAGAACTATGTGGCCAGTCTGGGATTATGAAAGATCACGTGATATATTAGTACTAAGTAGGAATGAGACAAGGAACCAAGAGTTTTCCAGTAGGTAGGTATGCAGTCTTATTATGAAATGACTTCTAGAAGCTATGTAAGGATTAGGATAAAAATAAACAGCTTTGGCACTCTCTTTATAAATGATATACAGTTTAATGTCCCTACAAAAACCCTGGGATGAGAACTTCGTGAAGTTCCTGACCTCTTAGCTGTCTGTAACCAAGGTGGTTAAGGTAATTGTAAAAAGGGAAATTTAAGATTTCTTCAACTTCAGTGAGCGCTGTTGTTCTTGGAACTACAAAATATTACCATGAAAAGTTTTAGAAAATGATTTGGGATTGTCAGTCCTTGGTAGGATACAATTTCTGAAATAAAGACACGACTGTCATGCGCACTATTGAGCTTTAGTCATACCAAATACTTGAACTCCAAATCCACAGTTGGTTCGCTGGATACTGGTATTTCCTTTGATTGATGGCCGACAATTATTCGCATGAAGGAAAAGTTTCTAAGCATATTACCGACTCTGTTCTGGACTTATGTGGCCAAGAATCGTTGCTATGAGTGTCTGGCAGCATCACTGTCGAAGTCTAAAAGTAAGGTTTCTTTGACATAATTATATTTCTTACTAAGTAAAAAGAAGCTGGCTTGATTTTCATAATTTAGTATCTGTCTCAGCCAAGATATGTAACAACTGACCGGCCTCTTGTATTCGAAGTACGCAAAATTTCGTAGAATGAGTTAACTTGACTAGCAGCAATTCACTCTGTTGAGAAGAAGTCTCTCGATAGTCTAATTGAACCCTTCAATCTACGATAAGACACGCACATGATGGTGTTTTACCTCTGTCCACGGCTAAGTACGTGCTTAAACTGGCCTTCACCAGGGAAGCTGACTCACAATACTTGAATGAAATCACGTGTGACGTGACTAAACAGCTATGGGCGAAGTTGGACGCTAGAAAATCTATACAGCTTATCCTTCTGGACTGGTTCTCCATTAGCTTAGCAACGTTTATAATAACTAGACACTGTTTAATGGAGCTTCACGGGAATAGTATGCGCTTTTACTCTAACGATTTCTGCCGCGGCTGTAGGGATGAAGAAGAGGAGGATATCAACGAGCACTACCTCTGAAACTGTTCAGCCTGACATCAGCGCGACACCAGTTTCTGGGGAAAGACTTCTTCGACTGTCTCGCTGAGTTGGCCTCAGTGAACATTGGAAATCTTGTCGCCTTTATAAGGCACACTATATGGTTCGATCATTTAAGAAGGTAAAGGCAGGAGCCTCAGCGGTATCACAATGGGCTTATTGGCCTAAGTGTGCTGGGGTTTGACCAGCAGCCGCATTAACTCAACTCAACTCATTAAGACATACCTATTAGTAAGGAACGTCCTTGGCACCGAGGAGCTTTCACTTCTATCCCGCAAGCCTCAAGGTAACCAACGCAGAAGAGGCATACGCACGAAGA